GGATCCCTGAGGTATTCCATTATTCATAGACCTTTCATCTGATAAGTTACCATTTATGTATACTGCCTGCTTTCTAGATGAGAGATAAGACTGGAAGAATTTTAAAGCTGATCCTCTGATACCATAAAATTCAAGTTTCTCTATCAGTAAATGATGGTTTACACAGTCAAAAACTTTGCTCAGATCCCACAATGTTAGAATCGTATGGTCTCCATTTTTTACGTTTCTAATCACCTGTTGGATGACTTCAAGCACTGCGTCGGTGGTGAATCTATTTCTGATGAATCCAAATTGATGTTCATGTTGAATATTGTGTTTATTCAGATATAGCATTAGCCGCTCTTTAACGATAATTTCAACGATTTTTCCCAAAAAAGGTATAATTGAAATAGGTCGGTAATTATCAGGAGAATTCGGGTCTCCTTTTTTATGGATGGGTATTACCTTACTGATTTTAAATACATCCGCAAAATGTCCTTCACTGAAACAGCGATTTATGAGAACTGTTAGAGGTTCTACAAGTGTGTTTATAGTTTCTTCGAGGATTCGACTGTTTAAATGATAAGTGTCATAACAATTTGTGTTTTAAAGTTTATGAATTGCGTCCACTACATCTTCATGAAGCATAGGAAGCATGAAAAAAGAATCACAGGGTTTGGAAAAACTACTCAGATAGTCTAATGTACTGTTATTACATGCTGGAAGGGATTTGATTATTTTTCGGCTATATTTGAAAAAAATATATTAAATTCGTTTGGATTAATAGTAGTAGTATTATTTGTTATTGACCATATTTGAAGAGTTTTGTTCAAAATTGATCAGTCCCCATGTAACTTTGACTTTGTTATTTGACATTTGAATAAAATTGTCGTAGGAGTTTCTTTTTGCCAAATTTATTTCACTTTGGTATCTTCGTTTGTATTCTACGAAAATAGCTTTATCTTTAGGATTTTTTGAAGAGATGCTGACTGTTTGAAGTGTATTCAATGTCTTTCTCATTTGGTGCAAATCATCATTGAAAAAGTTTATTGGTCTTTTGGCATATTTATTTTCAGATTTCTTCAAAGGGGAAAATTTGGAAACAAGATTACTATAAGTATTATTGAGGGTTTCTGCTAATACTTCTAATGGATTTTTATCATCATAGAAAATATGCCAGTTAATAAGTTGTAGAGCTTGTTTCATACCATTTGAACCCGCTTGGTTTATTTGTTTGTACCATTTAACCTCGACGTTACACATCTGTTGTTTGGGAATATGTATGTATTGCCCTATATGATCTGAATTACAATGATCACAAAGACCTACATCATACTCAGAGTTATGGATATTTGTTATAATATTGTCAATGCAACTAGAAGATGTGGGACCTATTCTAGTGCGAGTAGTGATCTTAGGTTTTAGACCAGAAGAATCTAAAATATTCAGCCAAGTTCTAGAAATATAATTCATTTCATTAATGTCAATATTGAAATCTCCAACAACTATTATCTTTTTGTATTGATCTGAAATTCTTGTTATAATTGATTCAACTTAATTGAAAAATAAATTATAATCTTGGGACAAAGAGGACCTATAAGTAGTTATGAGGATAGTATTAGGTTCACTTAAAACGATTCCACAAAATTCTGCATGTTGTTCAACACAAAACGATTCTAAAGGGAGTGGTTTACAAGTTATTTTGCCATTTACATATATTGCAGCACCGTGTTGCATAGTTTCTCTGCAATAGCATGATTAAAATTGTGAATGTTTAAAATATTCAAGCATTCTATATTTAGCCAATGTTCAGCCAAGCAAATGATATCATGAGGTTTATCTTCAAGATATAATTGCAACTGGTCAACTTTATTAGTGAGACACTGAATGTTCAAATGAAACATCTTCAAAGAGTCTTCCTGAAGATTTTCTGTGGAATCGTTTATCCTGAAAAATTAAGCGGTTGGGATGCACCAGCTTCTCCTAAATTAGTGTGATCACTCAGGAATCTCTTGCCTTTTCTGAAGTGAAGTGAAGTAGCCTGTAAAGTCGTCAGGGGTTCGGATCCCTTCATTGGAGCATTTCTCTTTAGGGCAGCTGCTCGAGTAGTTGATGAACTCGGTTTAGTTTTCGACACGGAACGAGGTGATCACAACTCTGTCACCGAGTTGGAACCCGTTCAGCAAAAAGCTCATATAAAAGCCGCAAAGATCATCTCACTTCTGCGGAAACACAAGGATAAGCCAATGCATGGGTCTTCTTCGATAACATTGAAGACCTTGTCTTCGCCTAACTTTCGCTTCCTCAGATCGAGTGGGCTGAAGTCGGAAACTGAGGGGTTTATCTACCGCAGTCGAGTGATAGAGGTTCCTGATACAAAGTGCAGGGCCTGCCGTGATGCGTCCGAGACCCTAATGCACTTGCTATTAGCATGTCCTGCATATGCGATCTCGGCCTATATCCATTGACATAACGCGGCTCTAAAAGTGCTATATCACCATCTACGGCACGCTTACGGTATTGACGAGCCACCAGTGTTGTTGTTGTTGAACTATGAGTAATCATCCAGTTTGACCCTCTGTGATCGGCCTGTGAGATAGCTGGTCATCCACTTAGAAATGTCATCGATTCCTATGAACTTGAGTTTACTGATGAGCAAATCGAAATCAACTTTATTTTGATCAAGCAGTACTGAAATGGCAACTTATTCATCTCTGGTTCTCGCAAGACCGTTGACTGCTTCCAAGAGGGCAGAAATGCAAGATACCTCCCATAGGTTAGTATCGCATATGTTTCTCGTTCATCTAGCAGAAGGAAAGATGAATGTTTTGGGATTTTCTTAAAGGTATGTATCTCTCCTCGATACAGTCTTCAGACAAGTTTTCATTTCTATGAAATATATGTAGTAGAAATGATACCAAACACAATATGTCGTTTCGCCAATAACTTACCTCCTAAATTCGGTAGAATCGAGTTTTTCCGGCATCGTTGCAGTCGTTTCTTTTATATCCTTATCCTTTGTATCTTCTGACAACTTTTTCAGAATCGATTTCAAGTTCCGCCTCTCCAAAGTTTCATTAGATTCGTTGGATGAGTGCAATGGACTCGATATCAAAGGCGTTGAAAGAAAGTTCCTATCTTGATGCATGGTAGATCCCTCCGAATGGGATCTGGTCAAAGTCTCGCTGTCAACACTCTGGTTTTCTGGAATATCCAGAGAAAAGCTCCTGGTTTTCATCACCAATTCCAGTTCTTCAAGTTTCTGCCGTTCGTTTAGGATTTTCAGCTTCTTGACGAAGGGTAATGGACCGTACTCCGGTGACAGGTCGTCTATCGACCTAGAATAAATATTCAGTCATTTACAATTATATGTATTTAGTGAAGGTAAAGATATATATTTTCAAGGGGTCGCCAACGAGGGGCAGGAGGGGGGCAGTTCCCCCCTAGAGATCTAATGTAGCTAGCTGCAAAGCGACCAAAGTGCGAGCAATTGACTTCCTTACCTATTAATAAATTCCGCATCGCATGACAAAACGTTAATAAATTCACAAGGTATAATGTATATTGTAGAAATTATTGAAATATTCAGAATAACATTGAGATTTTGACATCCGTTTTTAAAATCACCGCCATTATCATCACGACTATATCAGATTTGCCATTAAACAGTGTAAAATATGTAGGTAGGAGGTAGGTTTTTACTTTCTAGAAAATCTAGTATACTTTGGCATAGCAAAATCTAAGTAGTTGCATTACTTCGCATAAAACGACTGTAGACGAATGTTAATTCTTTTGCGTTAAGAGAGCATGTTGATTCAGAGGATCATAGTATGAATTTTGGAAATCCACCTATTTTATATAGAGAACAAAAAGATTATTTTCGAAAATGAAACATATCAGTCAGGAAGAATACTCAATGAATAAAAAAGTGGTATTGAAAATCTAAGGAAAATTTACACATACCTACAAAAAATGATGAGGGAAAATATGGAGCAGTATTCACAATTTTTATACTCGACAATGTCGGTCAAATTTCGATTAACTTTTATAATTTTATGTTTTTTCTATTCGCTTCTGAGCCATTTCATATTTCATCCTCACCATAGTGAGTTATCCACGTTTATATATTTTTACAAAATATATAATCTTATTATTGTTGTTATCCTGACGAAGGTGTGAAATATACAGAAAGCTTTGGCTGCAACTGCAACTTCAGCCAAAATTATTTCTAAGTTTATTTTCAACAGTTGACTTCAGTGACCTCATACTTTTTTGTAACTATTTCGCAAGCATATTAGTGTAATTTGTCAGAAATCCTATGATATCTTACGGCAGCAGTACCGAAATAGGGACTTGATAACATCCAGGCTTAAACTGAAGCTTTGCGAAGCACTGATATTATCCACAGTCTCTTACTTCGGGTTTGCCATATTACAATCGGACATGATATATCTCAGCTAAATTTGAGGAATCTGGTCTGACTGGCTCAGACTGATTAATAGGCAACTTCACCTCTTTGTTACAACTCATAAATTCATCCGTTAAAGGAAACCTCAGTATTTATTTGATATATACGTAATATTTGAAGCACAGAGTCACTATATAACCAGAAATCGTGGTAAATTTATCATCCCCAAACACTCCGCAGCTTGTGTCACTCGAAGTTTCATATATAATTCAGTGATCCTCTATAATGCACTTCCCGGTGAGTTCAAACACTACACGTTATATAACTTCAAGAGGAAACTGAAACTGCACTTGAATTTAAATGGATAGTATGGATACCGTAAATGATTTTTTTGTGATATGCTATTGCACTGGGTTAAGTTCAGGTCAAGCGCAACTGGGCTTTCATCGTTATTTTTCTATTTGTTTGTTATTACTCTTGTCGATGAGTGAAGGATATTATTATTATGAGTTCACATTTGCAAAGTTGCTGTCTATTCTATATTGGTAAGTCCTTGTTCAGAAAAATGAAACATTACAGAGTGCCTTACATGATGAACAATAATAACGAATGTGGATTAAAACACAAGAACAAATATACTCATGAAGCAGATGTAGATGATAAATTGTGAATTTATTTCCATTCATACTTGTAAATATTTACACTCTTACTTCTGAGAATATGTGATTTGTCTTTCTGTATCACTACTTAATTTTTTTCTTTTCAATATCATCTCATTTATCTTACATATTATTATAGTATTCAGTCTGAGTTTCAGTTCTCTTTTGAATCTGTTTTTACTTGTAATGGAACCTTTGCATTAATAATAGGGCACAGAGATGAGAGAAATCTTTGACTTCGTGATGTGCCTACTTCAGGAATTCTTGAAGTTTTTTGTTTAAATCTCTAGTATTGTGTATATTCTATGATATGATACATTCTACGATACATTGCAAGACTCAGGAAGTACAGATGTCTACATGTAAAAAAATTAGATTCATTGGAAAGTGTTTCAGGCGGATAGGTATAATCACGTTGATAACCCTAAAACACACAATGATTCCATAGTGGATATAAGACTGTTGTAGACTGAAATATATTGTTCGTAGCTGTGCTATATCAAAAATATTTTTGAAAAACCTAAACTTTATTCGCAACATATTCTGCATGCTTATTCCACCTAACATTTCAAAGCCAAGATATTTTATATGTCATTTCATATTTATAGTCATTATGTCATTGTTATTATGGAAATCCAACTGAGCATAATTCAGCAAATTCTAGTTGAAAAAAAAAATAAAAGGTACAAAGTGAGCTTTTTGATATTGATTGTCAGTAACCTACTCTCCAACCAACTGACAATTTTTATGAAATCTTCCCCAAACTCGTCTTTCAATTCTTTCCAAGTATCAGTGCGATATGCATATATATGTAATAGTAATGTATTTATTCACTAGAACAATACGTTATATAATACGTAATAATTTAAGTAGGTACGTAAATGGTTTTGATGATATTTTTTGTACATAATTCACATAGTATTATATCATGAATGAACTATAAATGAATGAAAATATGAGTGATAATCCACAAAAACATATGCTAGTTGTGGAACTATGAAAGAAAATAATGATTGGAAATGATAAAGGTGTATATGTGTTGACGAAAAGAACAACGTATACATATTATACATATTATACATACGTATCGATACTTTTTCGTTGAAGAAAACTCAGTCTACAATGAAAACGAAGACCTCTGAAGAACAGCCTTTTGGTCCTATAGTATTGCCAACAACTGAACCTTGAAAAGAGGTTTGGTGGTTCAGCCAGGAAACGACTGACTCGTCTATCAAGAGCGGAATAACTTATGAAACCGCCTTGCGCTAAATTATTGAGCGCCGTACGCAGAATCTCTCAGAGGTGGGGGAACAAACCCCCCATGAGCAGGTTAGCAAATGTTTGCGCTCGAGTGATGACTCACCAAAACCAGAGGCAAAAAAGCCCTGCATGGCTGAATTTAAGGCATCGTCACATGTAGCTGACGTGCAAAAACCCACATATTGGAAGGTTGTCGTTGGTGTTAAGGTGGGAATCTTGCAACTTGACTATCCGACTACCTAACAGAGTATATACTTTGTGCCTGCCCCGGTGGGGACCGAATCAGGTCTGAAAGACCCCTCACCATACAAACTAATCGGCTTCGTTAAAAAGCTGGGTTTATTTGGCCGAGTGTGAATTGGTGTGAGCCACAATAAACTCTTGAGGGTTGTAGTGGAGGGTCGAATAGACCCACTCAATTTGAACCTAACCTAACCCTAACCTATTGTATTATTTCAAAAATTATACTTTATATCGATCAGTTGATGGATGAATGATCTAAGAAGGTTTGAAATCTACTAATTTTTCATTTCTTCCTTGGATAGGCTTAGCGAGTTGATTGTTTTGAGTTCACTGGGATTTCTAAAGATGTCTCCAGCAGACGAAACGTTTGGTATTACAAGTTTCTCTAGACCATAACCCACCAACCCAGATTCTGTTCCCTCTTATCTTGACCCTTGCCGTGTATATATGTATGTGTATATACATATAATCTACCATTTTCCAAACTAATCTTGTCAAGATGAATGTTTTGAGTGGTTGACATACTATGTAAGCTTTTTTAGCCAACTTGAACTATATGAAATGGATTATCTACAGTGTAGTCATCCAAACCTGTAACGAGTATAACATGGCACCGTTCGATGTGGTTTTAGGAAATCGATAAACCTTGAACAAAAAAAATATAACATCATGTAGTTCAGTGTAGCTGAAGAAGTGGATTTGAAATTTTCCATATCTCCATATGTATTTGTTTGTGTTATTTTGATTTGAATCACTTCAATTACCGACTACCTGATGATAATAGTGAGATGGGGATTCACCAACATTGTACCATAACAAAAGTTAACGCTACTTATGCACCATGTTGTTTTTATACCAGAAACACTAATGGAGTCAATTCTGCTGTGAAATCATCTGGGATTCCATTATATCCGAGACATATTTGATTATTAATAGTCACGACCACCAATATTTTGAAAACGCTCTTTTTGATTAACGAGGAATGGTGACTCAATAATCAATGTTTTTTTTTAACACTATAAAAAAATCCTTAAGGCACTCTAAGAATGGTGCTGGTGCGAAAGTAGCGATCAACGTCGGATTTGAATCGCTGAATATTGAATTCATTTGGAAAAACTCAGGAAGTTATTTCCATATAAACGCAGTTCTCCAAATGAAAGAGTTCTTAAACAGTGTAGTTAGAGATGTACTGAATTGAATTAAAACGATGAAAGCATCTATAAAAGAGAGAAAAATCTCCAACCTTTCTTTGATGTACCAGACTATCAAGGTTGCAAGTTATATTCGTGGCACAAATCAGGCGGATGGCTCTTTTCTGGACATAATCCAGCAGCTTCAGGGTATGCTTAGGGGCGGAGCTCCATACACGAGAACAATACTCCAAAGAAGGTCTAATCTGAGTTTTATAAAGCATCAAAGGTTGTTGAGGTGTGTACAGTTTTCTGGTTCGGAACAGTATTCCAAGATTTTGAGAAGCAGCTTTTGCACTTCCAGCGACATGATCATGCTAAGACATACTGATGTTCATTTTGACCCCCCCAACAAACTTATCGAAGCAGAAAGCGGAATTTTCTGACCTGAGTATATTATATCCGTTTCGGAGACATTTATCTTCTTGGAGAAAACCGATGCCTGGATTTTCGTGGCATTGAATTGAACCTGTTTACTTTCACCCCAAATCGAAATCACCTTTAGATCCTCATTAAGATATGCAACCTCCTGCTGCCGGTGACGATGTGCATTCCATTCCATTCCACAGAATCCAAATGAAATGACGAGACAAGTGTGCTCTCATCGACGAGACAAGTGTGATCTCGTCAGCAAAGCAATATATTGGATTCTTGATTTTCTCCAATAAGTCATTGATATACAATAAAAAGAGGGTTGAAGACAAAATATGGATCCCTTAGGAACAACACCGTTGATGGTAAAAGTATTCGAGAAATATCCATCGACGACCGCTTGCAGGGAATGTTCTTTCCGGAAGCTGGAGAGAGATTCAAAATTGATAACTCAAATCTGCTTTGCTCGAAGGTAAATTTTTCACTGCCGATAGAATTTTTTCAAACTTACATCAATGTTTGAGTACCTATCTTCTCATTTTATTCTATGAAAACAATTGATTGAGACCAGGTTACACGTATTCACACACACAATCTCCGGGCAAAAATTGTCAACAAAACACTAGAAAACCTATAATTCGAAAACTTAAAAAATCAAATGGCATACATATTTGTATACCCTTCGATGTGAGGAATATGAATTGTCATTGTTTGGACATTGTTTGAACAAAAATTCCAGCCACGAATTTAAGCAGTACCGAAACGAATTGAATAAGTTAAGTGGGCATACTTGAAGACTGGCTATAAATCAAATCATCTGAAAGAACAATTCGTTCAGGCCAGTCTCAACTCCCTACACTGTAGGTTAATGGACGAATGCACTGACGAGTGGCCAAACAGCCCGAAACCGGTCTGCAAGTGTGTTCCAATAATTGAAAATCTATTGCGGCAGTGAGTCAGTGAGTCCATTAACCTATAGTGTATAGGGAGCTGAGACTGGCCTGAACAAATTGTTCTTTTTTAGATGATTTGATTTATAGCCATTCTTCAAGTAAGCACACTAATTATATGTGAAAAAAAATCTCAATTGTACACAATTATATAAAATTGCAGACAATTTTTCAACAAGCATAATTTTGTGTAATGTTCAATTGGTTATAGTGGAAAAACAATGGAAAACTGAGATTGGCTTTTCTTGTGTTTTATGGAAACGGCTGATATTATTACCATCAAGATTTTGATTTTTTCAACTCATATGATTTATTATTGATGTGTTTTCTTCAATCATTTACCAAAAATCGATATTTATGTAATACGATAATAACCCTATTATTATAATACGAACACTCCATTAACTAAACATTATGGATAAGGCCTACTCACCTGAAAGATATTTTATTATTCAACAATTTTGCTGGGGCAGCTGATTTAGCTACTAGTAAAAGAGGACTCTTTGAAGGCCCTGATGATGATAATCTTGGAGCTAATGTGTTCATTTGAGGCGTTGGAGTTTGTGGTTGCCCTGGGAAAAAATAATACGAAAAAAAAATAGTTATTGTGCATATGATAACTCAGTAACCTCTTACACCTGTTACATATGTTTGAAAGTGGTGAATTTCATCAGTGTGGACTTCCACTGTCTTTATGATTCTACTATGATTCGAAACTTATGAAAAAAAAAATAAAATCAGAATGAATAGCTTGAATATCTGAATCACGAATCCAATCACCATCAATCCACCAAAAGAGGAATCAACAAGACTCTAGTGGATCGTGCTTTCGAGCTCTACAATATGAAGACACATCTCAAGAAGGAACTGGGCATTATCAAAACAGATCTTCAGCGAAATATTTACTCCAAAGTGATGGTGGGACAGACATTGACTAGATGACAGCAACAGCCTCGCAAGGAAGAGAAGCCGTCTCAACCAGTGCTTGTACCTCCCTTCGTCAGAGGATTGTCTGAAAGGATGAGAAGAATTGGGTCCAAGTACAATATCAGACCCTGCTACAGATCCGGAAACACCATCCGTAGCAGCCTCAAGAAAACCAGGCCATCAAACGCAGACTGCGATACCAGAAATTGCATTAAACGTGAGTGCGCCAGATCCTATATCGGTGAAAGTAAGAAGGTCCGCATTGCCGAGCACAAGAAAAACACACAGCGAGGAGAAATCAGCAAATCAAGAATAGCTAAGCAAGTTTGAACTCATCAACATAACATCGAGTGGTCCCCAGCTGAGATCATCCAGATGGAGGAACATTGGCCTAAGAGAAAGTTCAAAGAAGCTGCATATATGATGTTCAACGACGCATTCAGCCAAACTAACGTAGACCTTTAATCAAGCGAAAAACGTTCAACTCCCGCCAAACGGTCAACTCCTGCTTACACGGAGAAGCAGAGAGAAATAATGAAAACGTCGAGATATATCTTGGTTTGAAATCTGTTTCAATTCTTCAATTAATTTATTGCTCATTTTTATTTTTATTCTTTTTTTTACTCTGCAGTAATTTTCATTCATTTCGTATCTTGATTATTTTATTCGTTTTCAATGTATTTTTATTTCATGTTTCATTGCTTGATATATTTGATATTTTAGTTATTCATTCTAGTTTTATTTCTTCTTCCATAAATTTCGAGTTATAGTAGAATCTTGTTAGACAATGGAAGTCAGAACTGACGTAAAGTTACATATGTTGTGAATATAACCCTCTTCGATTTTGAATTCAGGAGAGGAGACAAACATGAAGTGATGCATTATGAAACCGATGAAATTAATAAGTTACAGTGAGTATAAAATAAGGATTACTCTAATGGGATTTTGTGAAAGGTATCATCACCATCATACTCATAATTATCTTCATACATATTTTATTCTTTCACATGAAATCTTACTGACTAAAAAATGATTCGTTACATGTATTGATATTATGCTGAGATAATATCATTATTTTCATTCGGGTTTGAAGCTGTAAATTTTTTGAAATTTCTTCCCGACGTTCCACTAGCGCGAGTTTGTCTCTGATGAACTCAAGATGTATAAAACTTTCGCACCAGCGAAACGTCAGGAAGAAATTCCAAAGATCGACTAAAAACTGAAATGAGATTCGAGGAATATACGCAGAAATAAGGAAAAAAGAGGTGAAGAGGTGAAACAACGGCAAGAGAATGGTGAGAAAGAGAGAATGACCGACACTTATTGAACCAAATATAGCCCAAGACTCTCAACAAACCCTGAAGTGGTAAAGAATTGAGTATGTTATGGACAAAGTTATAATCGAATATTTGATGAATACTAACCTTTGCTCAGGCTGATCCCACTAAACAACTGCCCTGTCACACTCTTTGTCCCTCCTACCCCCGTTCTCGCTGCTTTTGCAGCTTTCTCCTCTTTCGCCTTCAGCATGAGGATACGCTGAAGAAGAGGTAAACCTGCACCGATCATTTCTTCTGTGGACTCCTCGGTAATTGGCGGAGGCGATCGAATTGTGGAAGACGTCGGTGATAAAATTGGAGGAGATGTGTCCTTGAGTCTCTCTTCATTATCTTGTTTTTCTTTGAGCAACCTTCGTAAAACAGTTTGCATCAGTTTGATATCATTTTCAAAACTATGAGTTTTGTATAATGAATTAATGAACAAATAGAATTGGATTGCTACCACTCATCAAAATCAAATGTTCCGATGTTTATATTTCATTTATTTTGATCAGATTGCAAAAAATCCTGTTTCTCTTATAAGCATATTCCTTTCAAAAATGAAAGTATCTTTCAAATTTTCAATATTTTTCATTGATTTCAATCGATGGCTTCAACTAAAAACACATCACATTGTGTACAACTTACTCTTGTACTCGTTCTTGAGTCCAATAATAAAAAACTAATCGGATATATTCAATTGGACTTTTTTTTTGAAAAATGATTTGCACAAATACTTTATTGTATGCGCTACGGTTTACTGAACCATGTAGCCTCAAATTAGAAGATGTTAGCGAGGAAATTACATTGATTAAAAGAAGATAGACACAAAAATTATACGGATAGTGCTTCAGAACCTATACATGTAGTGATGTATAAATCAGAAACGATGACACCGAATACTGAACTTATTGAATGCTATGAGAATATAACAAGATCTACATAGGTTCTAGAAGACTATCAATATCAACAGAAGCTCAGAGTTGTTCAGTACAAAAAATACTGACCGATAAGAAAAAATCATCAATATCGATAATAGATGAGTTAGGTGGGATTAGGTTCAACGTCAGAACACTGCAACTTGCAAAGGTTTATTATGGATTACATTAATTTAAACATCTTCAAATAAATCAAGCTTCACAACGAAGTTGATTCTCTCATTTGAAGAATGATATTTCAAGTCAGATAGCGTAGAGTATGTACTCTGCTGTTTCATCGTTTTCCGTAAAGCAACAGCACACCAAATCTTTCGATAGTACATATGATGCTTCAGGTGACATTGACCCATGAGTAAGCCTGTCAGAAAACGTAGTTCATCTCTGTTGCAGTTTAATTGCAGTTCAACAATTATTTGCTGATATTATTCAAAAGGTGTATGGAAACCTTGGATTAGATGCTACCAGGAGTCTAAAACTCTGGCTGCAATCATAGTATTCCGTGTTCGTTTGGCAAAGCCTAAATAATGCCAGTAACAGGTTTGTATCTGATGAAACCACTTTCAGCGCTCTCCTTGGCAAAATAATCATTACCTCTCAGGCTAGTATGGCAAGGAATTCAGACCGATGACAATTTATTAAATCTTCCTATTGAGCAGGGTATCTCTTGGTCGTTTACTATTGATGAGGCCAAATGCTTTCAAAGTCGTTGATATATCTACCAATCTCCCCACACATAAATGAAAGGCCAATATTATCGCATGGAATACGTTCTCGTAGGTCCTTGGGCAAGGTCTGCGATTGCATATACCTGAACCAGAACATGGAGGTGTTTTGATATATATCTTAGTATTTCCTTCTTTCACAGCATCCAATCCTCTCTAGTGGAGATTAGTAAGGTATAGGACAAGGCATAAAGTGACTCGGCCATTACTTGATGAAGATCCATAGTAATTTCATAAGATTTGATCTTCACAAACTTTATTTTCGAAAAATATCACATGTTTCACTATCATAGTAGCTTTTTCGTAGAGAATAAAATACTGTTAGGTGTAGTTTGTGAAACAGGTCATTATTGATTGTTGAAAACATTAACTTGGAGGTTATTTCCTGGAGGCAGTAATTTGCATTATCAACAACAGATGCGTATTCCTGAATTAATCAACAAAACATTAAGCAGTCTAAACCAGAGGTGAATAATGTGGAAGAGCACTGGTGCAAAAGGGAGTTTAAATAATTTATATTCAGTTAACCTAGTTTGCATATTCCAAATCTGTAAAAACCATCAATTAGTCTGTATATGTATATGGTTCACTGATTTGGAAACTATGCCTGTTTCAGTTGTAAAGTTTGGATGAGTTTTGCTTAGCAGAAACTCCAGAATTCAATTGTGCATATAGAAGATTGAAATATTATTAGAGAAAATGTTTCCAAATGGTACATTTCGTATGTTTTCACTTCAATTTCAGAAAGAAAAGCGTGAATGAAGTTCAATTCGGAAATTTAAAAAAATACCAGTACCAAAATTGTCAGGTATGCTGATGATTCCAATCTTGTTATACTTCTTGACTGCTATATGAATTTGGAAAGTGAAGTATTGAATGTTGTTTCTACATCCTCAACATATTTCATTCAAAATGAACTTCTTTTAAATACAGCCAAAACTCATTCATTATGCAAAAACGTATAATAAAGAATATGGTTAACATGAATTAAACAGACTCCTGTCGCGAAATTTTTAAAAGTAATAAATTACTTACTTTATATGGGATCTATATTTATGTTTGTGTTATTTTCATTTATGTATAGTACGCGAGTACTATACAAGGAACAATTCGAATCTCGTTCTTCCTAAACATAGACTCAGAAATACAGAAAGAGGTCCACGCTATATGGCCATCAAACTATATAATCATTTACCACTGACAATCAGAGAAGAAGGCAGACGGTATACTTTCAAAATTCTAGTTTTCGATTTGTTGTGTAACATGGAACCCTATTCGATGCAAGAATTTTTTATGGCAACTTCATGACGATTGCAGAAAACAGAAGAAGGATAGATATTACTATTAGCTATCAAATTTTTTATAATCCTAACGAATATAGACATGATATATGCGAGAGTATATTTTCATTTTCATTATATTTTGATATCTACATATTTTAGACTAATGCGTTTATATCTATGACACCTATCTTATTTTTTTTTCTCTTTTTCTTCAATATTGAGTTATACTAAAACGTACTCCCACGAATGTATAAACCTGTGATAATCTTTTGTTGTATTTTAATAATATATTTGTCCCTTACTGACTTAAGTTTTCATATGTTCAATTTGAAAACTTACCTATCTATCTATCTATAATGAAGGTTCACGTAAGATTCTATAAGAACCTGACCAGTCTTGGCATACTTGATAAACATCAGTATTATGAACTCAACCAATCAGTGACGTTGAACCGTTCACTATGGAAACTTACGTCATACATTGAATGAATAGATCTATATCAATATTTTATAGCTGTTTTTTCATTGGCATTTGCTTCATTTCTTACTTCAATCTTTGTAACAATGGAAGACCGGCTCCGATGGGGGACATGAAAGGTTCTGAGGGGCAAGTCTCTTTTTTATCAGCTTCATCTTGGCTCAGATCATGGGATTTCACTCTGGACATTCTTTTCAATGTAGCTTTATTATTGTTATTGCTTGATGTATGTAGAGGTTTGAGTTCCAAAGATTCTTGAGACCTGCGGTGTGTCCTCGATTTCTTCAACACATTTCTCAAACCCTGAAATATTAAAATTCAACAATTTGCAAATAGCAGAGATTGGATTTGAGCAGAAGTTGAGGAATGTAGAACAGTGAAGTAATGAAGTAATATGTTAAAATAATGATTGAAGGGGATATCATAGAAAGAGGATCATAAACAAGCTCTAACACCCCTCCAATACCCTGAGAAGTTTCAATATAATACTCTCAGGGTACGCGATTTTAGGAAACAATGATCATTTATTCCATGGACTTTTGGAATTATGCCACTTACCTTTGCTTCACTTTTGATTTTATCAACCAAACCCTTTCCATCAACGGTGTGGTGATGATGATGGTGATGCTCTTTATGTGGCGGATGTCGAGCGGAGGCTTTAACTTCCATCAGCCTTTTCCGACCCAAGGCTTGAAGGATTTCTTGAGCTTCTGGATAGTCCTTCATGGCATTCAAAACGTCTTCCCGAGACAAAGAAAATAATTCCGAGTATCCAACAGAACGTACGTCTGCTGTCCGCCTGAAATAATTAAATATATTTTCAGCCACATATTTCGTCGTTGAAGAAGATATACTCTGGGACAAGTTGTATTAAATAAAGAACAAAAATAATTTTGATGTCCGTCTCGAGGTCGTCATACGTACTGAGAAAATTATTATTTCGAAACATTCCCCCTTTCTAACGTAATATGAATATCAAAATACCCAACGGAGAATAAGTGCTCTTCTCGCTAATGCGAGAATTATATCCTTCAACTTATTGTGGATGCTTCCACAAATAGTCAGGAGGGTAGTTGTCATCGCAGATAACAACATCTCTCAATTATGAATCCTGTTCCCAACTGATAGTCCTGCTAATACTGAAAATCCGTATCTATAACTGTATCGATTTGAATTGTATATTAGGGCAAAAACAGATACCATTCTAAAAAAGAATTGATATGTTACATGAATATGAATATATTAGTTCATTTTCATATAATTCATCGCTCTACAAATTGAATATTGCAATACATTCTAACGAAAAAATATATTTCACAGCACCCAGGTGGATAAAATTATCTAAAATTTTCCAAAACGACCCATATCACATGTCACGTATTTATTGACTGCTCTTGGTCTAAGTTCCTGTTATATTTTTCATACAGTGGAACTAGAGCATTTGAGAAACTGAAGTTTAATTTCAATAACTATTAAAATAGAATTCAATACCGAATTTATTTCAGATAAATTATTTCAGGAGATATGTGGAGATTAGTAAGGTATAGGACAAGTCATAAAGTGACTCGGCCATTACTTGATGAAGATCCATAGTAATTTCATAAGATTTGATCTTCACAAACTTTATTTTCGAAAAATATCACATGTTTCACTATCATAGTAGCTTTTTCGTAGAGAATAAAATACTGTTAGGTGTAGTTTGTGAAACAGGTCATTATTGATTGTTGAAAACATTAACTTGGAGGAAATGGCATACATATTTGTANATCCAATCTCCAATAATATATGTCAACCTGTAGACACTAATCATCAATTGTTTAAATACTAACACAAATGTATTGTTGTGATCTGTCGGAAAACTTATATAAAAACTAATATGTATACCATGACGAAGTAGGAATAGAGCACAAAACAAGCCATACTGCGCTTAGGTGACTATTTCTGCTTTGAAAAGGTAATATTGTATTGAAATTATGATGTAAATGTTTTTGAAGATGAATAAATCTGAATCTGAATCTGAATACCTGTATAGAGGGTATCTCAAAAGTTATGGTTCAAATTGAAGCACGTGATATAGGATATTCTTTTTGATATTGTTATTAATATAAAACGAGATCCGATTACTTGTCATTTTCAATTATATTTAATTTTCGTGAATCAAAAAACCTTTCTCTCGATAACAAGTATTGGTAAAAACAGCAGGACCACTTCCTTAAGTTTAGACCGAGACACCCTGTAAAATCTGAACAGCTCTGTCTATTAATGGATTTGGGATACAATTATCTAATAGTGAATATATTCAGGACCTCAAACCAGTCCTAATTTACCATCAATTTACCTACGTACTTTGAATATAGATGACTGTAGGGTTTCCAAATAGGGTCTGGTGCATACAAATTATTGGATTTGTGAAGTTAGAAATCGAGAGACTTTTTTATAACATTTCTGCTGATATATCTGTGTATAATTGATTTGTTTGAATGAAGTAAAGCCGCACACCTCATCTAGATCTCAGTAATTAGATGATATTGTTAAAAAATACTAAACATCGGTCATATATTTTATAATAATTCGTTCAGAGAATGATACGTTTCAATTCAGTATGAACAATGTGGGTGGGAAGTGAGTATGACGAATCCTTGTACAAAAACGCCATCTATAGGATCGGCAAAAACTCAATTCTCGTTTATCTCAAATAACTTGTTTTTGAAACAGACAGAAGCTGAGATCTCGTTCAAAGTTTCCAAACATAATGAAGCTGATTACCACAGATGGTTCGCTGGGATAAAACTATTGATGTTAATGCATTTACTCTTTGAAAAAAATCGAGCATCTCAATTGTATCATCTAAAAGAACAATTTATTCAGGCCAGTCTCAACTCCCTACACTGTAGGTTAATGGACTGACACCTATCAGAAAACAACTACTCCCCTGGCTAATACCACGAAGGGCGTTGGATTATATCCAACAGGTATCAGTGCAGGATTCTTCACTGAAGTTATTTCTGCATATGCTGTTGGCGATACAACTGCCGCAATAGATTTTCAATCATTGGAACGCACTTGCAGACCGGTTTCGTGCTGTTTGGCCACTCGTCAGTACAAGGTAGTATATATCATCAACATAAAGTCGATGATTTCCGATAATTGAAAATCAAATTCCTTCAGAGTATCATTACTCGACTTAAGCAGAAGCATACAACAAACAATAGGTTTGTCGTCGCCCCATCTACCTGTGAACGAAGTAACCAACTGCATATCCGAAATTTGCCCAATTCCGCGTATAAGGAAAGAAAACTTTTTTCATATAGCCAGTGGGCATATAAATCAAAACTTTAGTGAGTCCATTAACCTATAGTGTATAGGGAGCTGAGACTGGCCGGAACGAATTGTTCTTTTTTAGATGATTTGATTTATAGCCATTTTTCAAGTAAGCCCACTAACTATATGTGAAAAAAAATCTCAATTGTACACAATTATATAAAATTGCAGACAATTTTTCAACAAGCATAATTTTGTGTAATGTTCAATTGGTTATAGTGGAAAAACAATGGAAAACTGAGATTGGCTTTTCTTGTGTTTTATGGAAACGGCTGATATTATTACCATCAAGATTTTGATTTTTTCAACTCATATGATTTATTATTGATGTGTTTTCTTCAATCATTTACCAAAAATCGATATTTATGTAATACGATAATAACCCTATTATTATAATACGAACACTCCATTAACTAAACATTATGGATAAGGCCTACTCACCTGAAAGATATTTTATTATTCAACAATTTTGCTGGGGCAGCTGATTTAGCTACTAGTAAAAGAGGACTCTTTGAAGGCCCTGATGATGATAATCTTGGAGCTAATGTGTTCATTTGAGGCGTTGGAGTTTGTGGTTGCCCTGGGAAAAAATAATACGAAAAAAAAATAGTTATTGTGCATATGATAACTCAGTAACCTCTTACACCTGTTACATATGTTTGAAAGTGGTGAATTTCATCAGTGTGGACTTCCATTGTCTTTATGATTCTACTATGATTCGAAACATATATGATGAATGGGATGAATAGAAAAATACTTCAAAAGAAATAAAGTAATACCCAGACTAGCTAATTTTTCTGGTAACCTCAGGGGCCTCAAATCGATCTTGTTCATGGACAAAAGCCTTCGAGGGACAAGATGCTGTGTGAATTAAATACCTCATCCAACTTTCAAGACACTAGAATCTGGGATCTTGATCCCACGAGGTCTGATAGTTCATTCTTGAAAAATTAACATTTTTGAGATGATGCATCTTGGTAAATAATTCAGATATTTCCTTCTCTTCCTCCCACCTAAAAGGGATGTGAGGAGCAAAAATTTGTGAATATTTTTCTCTTGAATTTGAAATTATTTTATGATGAAACTGTGAATTGAGTTGAAATTTTGAATTCATACATACCGATAATGCTTTGTTCTCTTCGTCAATACAAGACTGGGTTTGGTTCTCTCATTCTTTGCGGAATCCTCAATAGTTTCTTTACCTCGGCCATCATCGATACTGTCCTTGGACGGCGTTAGCGAGCATGCGTCAAGGTCCTTGGAAATCGCTGCTCGTTTCAATTTCAACCAATGTGGTTCATTTTTATCTACACTATCGCCGCTGTCTAAACTAGATTTGGAGTTCGTATTGTTATTATCACTAGTATTATCACTGGCACTAACCCTAAGAGTTTGGATAGCCTTATTGATCGGACCACTTGCCAAGGGGAGTTGGTTATTGTCACTGGACGGTGAAAACGGCACTAATTTAACAGTAGTGTCTGTTATTGATGGAGGATCGCTGTCTTTTAATAGAGAATCCTTAATGCTAGAGTCTTTTTCTTTGGCGCTTGTAGCTAATTTTATACGATCCCTGAAACAGAAAAGAAAGGACGTACTGAGAGTACGATATTCATGATATTATATTTCAGAGTGTTCACAATTGAAAATATTCTGAACTCTACATGTGTATCAAAAATATATTTCAATATATAGGAATGTAGGCTTTCAAGGCTGGCGTCAATGTTTTGGTTGGTTTCTGGGTTTTGCCGTGGTCTTCTTTGGTACAATTTCCAAACATTTCAACTGCAACTGCGGCAGTATAGTATAGTTTTTACTTGATAATAGGGTTAAACCCGAAACCGGTCGTATAAATAAACTCAACGAGTGGAAATTAGACGAAAGTGTTTTCATTTATTCTATTGAAGAGACATATCTTGCTAAACTGTGTTCAATATGATGAAACTAGACAACGATATGAAATACCGAATTCTCTGAAGGAATATCTGAAGGATCGTAATAAAAATTTAGACAAAATTATAGAAATGTGAGAGGTGAAATTTTCAGAAAAATCATGCTTTGCGTTTTCCAGAAACGTCTAACCTACCATCGACCGTGAGTCACGCTGTATAAAGTTACTTTTTTGGAATTGATTGCTTCCTTCTTTTCTTTGGGAGATTCCCACATGTTTTGTATCGATATGGAGTAGTAGAAGGCCAAAAACCTCTTCCTTTCTATGAAGAAACCCCTTTCAATTTGAACAAGATTTCTATGGCTGTGATCAAAATAAGCAAATGAATGTCATTACTTACTGTAATCAATGACATGAGTAGATTAAACTCATTTCGTGTCATGAAGTCGTAATTTTATGAATGATATTTATTTATACACTGTCTACAGGTTACACCCAAGTACAGAATAGGGATATAAGTCAAATCACGATACAATACAATTACAATAAGTTATAAGATAAAAAGAATATATATAGAATTAGCTGAA